ACTGTTCATTTTATGACGGATTGTACCTTTTCAATGTAAAAACTCTGAATCATAATGTATAATATCTTTGATACATGTATTCCAACATCGCACGTAAAAATACACTGAGTCTGCTTGTTTACATTTGTAATTTCTCATTTCTACAGATTTATACCACTTAAAAATAAAACTAAACATTTCAATATACAACAATATAACACTACACAGTCAGTTAAAATAAACTTACTCTGTGGGGGATCTAAATCTGCCTAAAACTTTGTCCGTGAAAAATTAGCCACATGCTTTCTGACTTTTTTGTACTGATAAACTTTACCACGAGGGATGTAATTTTACTTTCACTTTCAAAATACTGTTCAAAGTACTGCTTACAGAGAGATAACTCTAACGTAAAAAATGGTTCCATTACAGTCTGATTGGCACTCATACCACATCTTCTTTTATCTATTACACAAAATTGATGTTCTTATAAACCAACTATAAAGGCTATATTAATCTTCAGCTATCAAACATTTAAGTTTATTGCACATTAGCTCTCATATTTGAAAAGTCTATATGGGCCAAAATGCGAAACTACACACTTAACTATGGAATGCTACATTACATAATTTCTCAACACAACCCATTTTTAAATATCAATATATGTATTACAATAGATAAGACGGACGCATCGATATTTGTTATATAGTGTTACATTCGTTTGGCTCTGTGACGTGTAACGTTACTTTTGACACCGTCTGAGATTTTCGGGAGATTTTATATAAACGATAGAAGACGTATCCTCGTCTCATTGGTTTTCGTGCTTTCAGAAATACACTGTGACGTCACCATTCGCATTGCAAAAGCATGCATAGTACGAATGCATATGACGTACGAAAACATAAGATATGACTATAATATACGAGTTAATAGTTTTTTTCTCTGATCTTAGTGTTTCTTTTTTTTCTCTAAGTCACCTCAACTCATAGAGATCTACTGCTTGGGAAGGTCGATATAAAACTAAACACTATCTGATTCCTTATTTTGATCTCGGATTATAATACGTGATTTTACGTTACACAATGTCGTTAGACTCATAGCGATTTAGAGCATGTCTAGTTTATCATATCCCAAAGAAGCGTATTTATTGTTACAGACTAGAAGATGGATTTTTATGTTTTTTATGTCGTCCGGTTGCTGTCTTCATTTTTGTACTTGTTTTCCTCCTCTCGACGTCTCCCATTTCACAATCCCAACATTTATATGGCTAGGTATAACAAATGTTTTCAAAGATTGATATTTGTTTGATTGAGTCCTACATGGTCACTATACAACCGGAAAGAAGAATTCATATTAATGTACAATTGGATAAAATTCAAAATTGTAAAGCGAGCCTAGCGTCTGAAGTATAACATTTCAGAGACTGGAAATTATCACAATATGGCTGAAAAACCAAAGTTTGAGCTATTTTGTGTTGTTGTTGAAGGTAAACATGTCCACATTTTCGTCATCTAATTAGAGATACAACAATACTGTAACTTTTGCAACTATTTACCATCATAAAAATGAACAAGTTTAAATCGTTTGGCAGAAGTTCTACCTAGCTGCTGTCGATAAACAATATCGGACTGAGACTTCTTTTAAACTGAGTTTTACTGTGCGTATTGCTGTGTGTTTGTTTTTTCTACATTGGCTATGGGTAAAAGGGGAGGGTTGAGATCTCAAAAACATGTTTAAACAGGCCGCATTTTTGCACCAGTCCCAAGTCAGGAGCCTCTGGCCTTTGTTAGTCCTGTATGATTTTTAATTTTAGTTCATTTATATATTTCGGAGTTTAGTATGACGTCCATTATTACTGAACTAGTACACACTTTTGTTCAGGGGCCAACTGAAGCACGCCTCGGGGAGCGGGATTTTCTCGCTGTATTGAAGACCTATTGGTGGCCTTCGGCTGTTGTCTGCTCTTTGGTCGGGTTGTTGTCTCTTTGACACATTCACCATTTTCATTCTCAATTTTATGATTCGTATGGTTCGAATGAATACCATGGCCCAAACAATAACAAACTGTATATCTTCGGCAATCTTTATAAGTAGATAATGTAATCTCAGTGGTGTTTGTAAACTGATTGTGATTATATGAAAACATTTTGAAAGTTAGTTATCAAGTTTCTTTGTTAGGTATAGAAAGAGTCGGTTTTAATATTCAAAAATCTCTGGGGTATTTTTTCAGATCTAAATTCATAGAATCCGACTGATTTCTTACTTATAATACTGCTGTTTGAAGATTTATGGAGGTAAGTATGAAAAAAACGTGTTCTAATTTATTGCATTATCAGAGAAAAGATGTTCATGACATAAAGTCCATGGCAAATTTAAAAGTAAACGAAATTGTTGCGATTTGTTGTACTGCCTATACATTTTGTAAACCCAGTTATCCATGTTATGTATTATCGTATATTGAACACAGTAATGAACATATGATTTTTCTTGAAATGGTTTTTTTTTTATCTGTATGGGACTGACTATTGTATTTTTCGAAGCGTACGGTGTCAAATATTTCATGTTTTGCAGGACGGCAACAAATTAACGATAAGTATAATGGGAAGATCTTATTATACGGGTCGACTGGGAGGAAAGGAGAAAGTTTTGGATTGTCACTTGGAAATTGGGAGTATATTAGATAATAATGACATAAATTTAGCCTTGCAAAATAATACCTGACTGAACAGAAAGATCACATCATAAACAACAGGTGCTTTAAGTTACAATTTGTTGTGACCTCAACTTCATCATAAACTAACTTAACTGACTGTAGGACTTAAAGACAAACGGGTGGACGTACTTACTAATTAATGTTTGCTTAACGTACAGTGTCTAATATTTCAAGGGGCCTCGGTGGCCGAGTGGTCTAAGTAGTTACTACTGTAATCACTAGCCAGTCAACACTGAGGTTGTGAGTTCGAACCCCGCTCGTGCGGGTGCACTCGACTCCAATCTAAATTGAAAAATGACTAGGATTGTCAGTTTTTCTATCGAAGGTCAGTGGTTTCCCCGGGCACTCCGGCTTCCTCCACCAATAAAAACTGGCCGCCACGAAGTAGCCCAAAAGCGGTGCTTAAAAGTGGCGTTAAAACACCAAAAATCAATCAATCAATCTAATATTTTAGATTTAGGATTTAAGACAATGGGGCGGATGGACCAGAAAACATAATGGCTCTACGTATTTTCATCTGTAAATATGAATGACGTATTTGATAGTTACTATTATGGGAAGGGGGGTGGTGTGTACAAAAACTGTTTTAGTTGTTGCAATATCATAATGCAAACGAATAGAATGAACATTGAGAGGTTGTACTTTACTTTGGTTCTAGTCAGGTAGTTATATTTTCAGAAATGAGCCATGGTAATAAATTCAATAAACTGAAAAGAATAGGTATGAGCAGTTATGAGTATCCATCCTTTCGATTCTTTTATATTTTTGCAATGCACACAGTCAAAATATTCTCAGAAAGACTGTTTATGACATCTTTTCCTTTCGTTGGATGTTTATTACGATTTATGTTATACCTCGTACCATGATTTAAAAGCTGCAAAAGAGAATCTAAAGATACCAAAGCTACTTTCAAACTTAAAGTTGAAAATTTATTGACATCACCATTGCTAAAATAAAGTAAAAAAAAAAAACAGACCAACAGACAAACTACAGTACAATAGTTTGTTTTCCAATTTCGAAATTGACACTATATTATAGACTTATTTGAACGACTTATTTCCCTTAAAAGACACATTCAAAACAAACTACAGTACAATAGCTTGTTTTCCAATTTCGAAATTGACACTATGTTATAGACTTATTTGAACGACTTATTTCCCTTATAAGACACATTCATTTTCAAAGCCACTGTGGATCTAGGCAAAAAAACTGTGCTTAATGTGTGTTATCTTTAGTTTTGTAAATCGTTAAACATCTTTACATTAAATCGTAAGTCAGAAAACAACTTCAGATACCAATTAATATGTTTCATTAAATAATGTTTAATGAAACAATTTCAAGTTAGTACATGTATGCTTTGCTTCGACATTAGCCCATTTTTTACATTTAAGAACCCGTCTACAATTGGTAAAGGGAACCATAATAAAATCGGTGATTGGAAAATAGACTATTTATTATAACTAGCTTTCATTATCTAAGAGGACTTTTAGATCGCTTCTTCGTGTCGTTTGTCTTTTTGTTAGTTAGTGCAATCTAAAGTCCTTTCCCAACATTGTTTACGGATAGTTCTTCTGTTGTAGTTGTAGTTAGTGAGTCATCCACATACCATTATGAGGTTTGCCCCTTTTTTTTTAGAAAATACGGTGATCTATTTAACGATCATGCTTTATTCGTTTCGTTTGTATAAATCTGTAATGTATGTTCATCACATCCGTTTTGCTCAATATGCATTCAAAATGACACCCTCCATGAAGTTTCACGTTTATATGCCTTACCACACATACGGTCCGAACAGCCAAGCACGCAACAGAACAATGTTCTGCAACGGATCCACATCATTGTCATTGAGCTCTAGTGGAGTGTTTGTCTTTGACCATCATACCACACATCCTGTTTTATCTTCATTCCCTTTTTAATGTTTACTTAGATTAAATATAAAATGCCAATTTCATTGAAATTATGAAAATAATTAAAAGATGACATAAAAATAATATGATATAATCTAATATAATATCTGGAGCCTCGGCGCTGGTTGTTTTATTGTTTTTTTCAGGAACGTTGTTATAGCTTATGTTTTGCTTTAACTAGTCCATCACTAGACAACTAGATATGTATGGCAGATATGAAAGACATTTGTTCGCTTTGTGTAAATCTGTTAATATTTAGATCAAAATATTTTGGAAATCCAATTCAACACCAAGGTAAATGATTAAAACTTAAAAAATGAATTTCGATATATCAGTGCATTTGTAGACATGCACTTTTATTCTTTTTATTTCTTTTCGGAATATTATCCATTGAAAGATGAGTACTATCTGCAGCAGTTTTTAATCACTTCAAAAAAACTTAAGAAATGATGACGTTGAGTTATGCATCCTATTGTCCTTACTTTGACTCAATAAGATGCACTATATCCGAGTTTCTATATTTATAAGCGACGTTCAAAGGCGTAAATCCCCGAATATCACATAATGTTACATCTGCGTTCTTTTCCAGTAAAATCTTCACGATTTCCCTGTACCTTTCATCGCATGTAGTCGATTCAAAGTGATAAATTTCACTATTTTTTCCAATACAAGCAATATGCAATGGTGCCTGCCCACTCTTGTCACATTGATTTACATCAGCGTTTTTCTTCAATAACAATTCCACTATTTCATCATGCCCTCCTTTGCAAGCCATGTGCAAAGGTGACCTTCCAAACCTGTCACTATTTAAAACATCAGCTCCGTGCTCGAGTAAAAGTCGTACAATGTGTATGTGACCAATTTCGCAAGCAATTTCCCAGTACCGTTCATCGCATGTAGACAATTCAGAGTGATAATTTTCACTATATTTTCCGATACAAGCACTATGCAATGGGGACTGCCCATAATTATCACATTGATTTACATTAGCGTTTTTCTTCAATAACAATTCCACTATTTCATCATGTCCTCCTTTGCAAGCCTTATGCAAAGGTGACTTTCCAAACTTGTCACTATTTAAAACCTCAGCGCCGTGTTCTAGTAAAAGTAATACAATGTGTATGTGACCCATTTCGCAAGCCACATACAACGGTGGCTGGTTAAAATTATTGCGTAATAGAACGTTAGCACAGTTAACCAATAACACTTTAACTACATCAATATGCCCCTTACAACAAGCCCCAAAAATCGGAGACTGTCCATCCCGACCTCTCTGATTTACTTTAGTTCCATTATCAAGTAAAATCTTTACTATATCTGTATGTCCGCCTTCACATGCAAAATGTAACGGTGTTTGGCCATGCACATCACAGTAATCGGTTGCATTATTTGAGTTAAGTAAAATTTTTACGATATCTAAAAACCCTTCTTGACATGCAGGAAATAAAGGAGATTGTAGGCGCTGGTTGCATTGATTGACTTTAGCACCATTCTCAAGTAATAGCTGTACTATATCTGCATTTCCTGTTTTACAAGCCATGTGTAATGGCGACTCTCTAGATTTACCGCACTGAAAAACATTCGCTTTGTTCTCTAACAGTACCTTTACTATATATGAATGTCCTGCTTCACAAGCGGCCAATAATGGTGACTGTCCATACTGTCCACCGTGATTGATATCAGCATTGTTCTTCAGTAGCATCCTTACCACATCTATATGCCCTCCTTCACAAGCTTCATGCAATGGTGACTGTCCAGACCAGCCTTTTTGAGAAGCGTTGGCCCGATATTCAAGTAAAATTTTCACAATTAACAAATATCCTCCTTTACATGCAAGATGCAATGCTGCGCGTCCATCCATGCATCGTTTATTTACATTAGCATTTTGTTTTAGGAGCAGTTTTACTATTTCTATATAACCCCCTTTACATGCGAAATGTAATGGCGACTGTCCACGTTTGTTACATTTTAAGACATCTGCTTTCTTCCTCAGTAAAAGTTTTACTATATTTGTATGGCCTTCTTTACAAGCCAAATACAATGGTGAACGACCCTGTTGATCAACTTGTGAGACATGAACACTGTTTTTTAAAAGTTTGACAAAGTCAAAATTTGATTTTTGAGAAGTCGATAAAAATTGGGGGTTTATGAAATTCTTTAGCATAAAGGTGTCAAAACTTTTCTTAAGTAAAATTTTCACGACATTTGTACGTCCGTGTAAACACGACACATGTAAAGGCGATAGACCATCTATATCACAAAGAGTTACCTGTGCGCCATTTTCTATTAACAGTTCTACTACAGCTGTGTGCCCCCCTTCACAAGCTTTGTATAATGCTGATTTCCGTACATAATTGTAGTAATTCACATTGCATTTTAAGTCAATCAGGAGTTTGACAATGTCATGGTAGCCTTGAGATGCAGCTTCCATCAACGGTGTAGTAAAATATGATGTATCTCCGCCGTTACTAGATTTTTTCAAAGCTGATCTTACTTCGCGGTCATGCTTGAAAATGTTTATTATTTCAGCTCGAAAAAGTTGTAAATTCCTATTACGTATCGTGCCTATGATATCGCCCTTTTTTAGATCCCTAATCACTCTGCTTAAATACTCTTCTTTCATGTTTTCCGGAAGAATTATAACATTATCGTTTGCTTTTGATTTAAGTGATTCGAAAATGTAATGATCGCGAACAAATGAGGTAGGCGCATACTTGATAAAGCATTCTGTGAGATACTTGCCATACATTAAAGCAGCAATTTCATGTATTTTGTCGTGTATCATAATATACATGTTTCCGCGCTTTTTTAGATAGGTCAACTCCAAAGTTTTAAATCCACTCATTAGACGCTTCCTTGACATTTCTCGTTTGATAGGTATGTTGCATTCTTTTATTATTTCATTTATTTTGTCTCGTTCACTTAAAGGTGCAAATTCCAATTTCAGCCAATCAGGATCGAAACCATCAACAAATAAGATGCATAGAACTAAAGCACAAGACTGGTATTGACCATGTTGACTCTGCAACATTACGAAGTGTTTTATATCATCTTTTATAGTATCGTCAGGAGATGTAAAAAGTTTCCTTATTTCATCCAAACTTTTCCCTTTCGACAATTTACAAAGCAAAGGAAAGAAATCGAAGTTTTCTAGTTCGATGGGGTCAATCATTTCATGTGGTAAGTACTTTTTTATCATGAGCATTTTTTCATCCCATTGCAGACGCAGTTCTTCTGATAGCAAATTGCAATTACTTTTAGTGAACAGTTTAAGGAGTTGAAATTGAGAATCTCTATATACGTGTAATCTACAGGATACCAATAATTGAGTAGAGGGTATTTTTGATTTACCAGTTTTTTCATCAGTTTTTAGAATTTTGAATATTTTTTCTAACTTTTCTAAATGATCTCTCCACATTTCCACTGATCGCCTATTAATTGCTTCTTTGCCACAAATGTCATCAACAACAAACACCTGCTTCTTTTTCGGGTTTAGAAAGTTAATAATATCAAGTGGCCCTGTTACAAAAGGTATCAGCTCATACCCATAGTTTGCATGTAATTCTAACGCAACATGATGAATAATTGACGACTTTCCATTGCCTGAACTTCCAGTGACAACATTTATGTTACTTTTATATTTGAGTGACGACTTCACATATTTCGTAGCCCTTGTGATGACAAAAAGTTGGTCGTCCTTTGTCCATTCATCTATATACTGCTTATGTTGAGCTGTTAAAATAACATATAATAGGGTTATCTCTGAATAACATACCCGTTTGAACTTGGAAACGTCGAAAGTTAAACAAAGTAGAAACATTTCATTGACTGATTCGATCCACAAGAAAATTATTCTTATACAGGTTTAAACGAGAATTAACTTTTTTAACAAATAACATGAAATCAGACCGACCTAGAATGTCCAATTACACAATGTTTGCTATCTATTTATATTTATGTTATGTGAACATCGACAACCATTAGCGGTCATCTTGATTGTTAATTAGATGGTGTCTATATCAAGATAAACATGAAATGCTGACATATATTATCCGAGTATATATCTCCCAATTGATACGATATTCCCGGGCTGGTATTTCCTATCATGATTTCCCGGTTGCTGCTCACAAGGCAGCTATCAAACAAAGAGTTCCAAATGGTGAGGTTGAAATTATCCATTCGTAAATTTTACAAACGCCATCACGAGTAGGTTGACCGTTATGAAAAAATCATTTCACAGATGATATCAGATATGTTCCTCATGTCGTTACTACAATCCCCTTATCTTTTCACGAATGTGACCTACCAAATTAGATTATTTACCGGGTTTGATCAAGTATGAGCAACACGACGGGTGTCACATGTGGAGCAGGATCTGCTAACCCTCCAGGAGCACCTGAGATCACCCTTAGTTTTTGGTGGGGTTCGTGTTGCTTAATCTTTTAGTTTTCTATGTTGTGTTTTGTGTACTATTATTTTTGCTGTTTGTCGTTTTCTTTGTCAGCCATGGCGTTGTCAGTTTATTTTCGATCTATGAGTTTGACTGTCCCTCTGGTATCTTTCGCCCCTCTTTTTCGAGTTCATGCATTGTTAATTGTTATATTCAGACTTATTGCAATTTGGATATACGTTTTAGTATGTTACAAATCGGTGAAAATGAATTTGACAGCTAATGTTCCTTTAAATATTTGAGAAATTGACTCGAAGAATGAAGTATACAAGGATTAATCAAGAGTAAAATATTGGCCAAACGGGCCTTCTTTTCGCGGGATAATCTCATTTTACGCGATGCATTTTTGCAAGGGAAGATTCATTTTTAAATATTCACGATATATTTTTTTTTGGCGAAAGGAGCGAAAAGAAATCTCGCTGGTAAAAAATAATTTATTTACGGTATTATTGCAAGATAAGCCTGTTGCAATATAAAAGGAAAGAACATGTTTCTTTTTACTTTGGTTTCGAACATTCCTGTCTATTTTGAATATAAGATATTAACATTATTTAAAAAGCAAGCTCAAAATACCAGTTCTGTTTTTTTGCCAATGTTTATATAACGCAAATACACCCGTGGGATAAAAAATGGATTAACGAATAGCATATTTATAAAAAAAAAAGAAGATATGGTATGATTGCCAATGAGACAACTCTCCACAAGAGACCAAAAGACACAGAAATTAACAACTATAGGTCACCGTACGGCCTTCAACAATGAGCAAAGCCCATACCGCATAGTCAGCTATAAAAGGCCCCGAAATTACAATGTTAAACAATTATAACGAGAAAACTAACGGCATAATTTATGTACAAAAAATAAATGAAAAACAAATATGTAACACATAAACAAACGTCAACCAATGAATTACAGGCTCCTGACCTAGGACAGTCACATACATACAGAATGTGGCGGTGTTAAACATGTTAGCGGGATCCCAACCCTCGCCCTAACCTGGGACAGTGGTGTTATAGTACAATATAAGAACGAAGTATAAAAATTAGTTGAAAAAGGCTTAACTCATCGGAAGGATATAAATACAAATACTACAAATACAAATGGACGTGGCCGGGTACTTATACATCCCAACACCAAAAAGACCCTAAGTACAGATCTGAGAGTACTTGCAGTTACTGACAGCTAGTTCAAAACCACTAACAACTAATAAAAAAACCATGCATCTAAGACTAAATTAGTTTAACGTCGATAAACACATCTGAGTAACTAAGTATACGTACCCCTGATATTTTTTGGAATTGTCTCTTCTTGATTCCTTTTAAGTTCCAAAGCCATATCTTCGAGTTGCATGGAAACATTCTTTGTTATAAAACTGATTTCTGCACCTGAAAAAGACATGTTAATATATATAATTTGCATTTCTGTAAATATAGATGATGCAATATCCCATAGAAATCCTTTTACGGCTAGCAATTTACTTTTACTCTGAAGCTTCGAAAAATATATCCTAAAACGGAAATCTAATATGCACTACTATTGTTTTGCTACCCCTAACTTCACTTTGGGTTTCCTCGGAATTCAAGGCGGTGGCTATTTATGTTTATTTAAACTGATAACATTACCAAAATATGTCGCTATGAGAAGTAACATAGGGATCATATCTGGGAACGAGTACGAAAATAAAACAAAATATATATGAATATTATTTATCTCCCCAGAATAGGCTTTGTTTGTGAAACAGCTGTTTTTTCAAAGTGCAACCTTTACTAACAATTATTCAAATAGAAAACTCTTGGAAAACTTTTTTCTCACAACAATAGTTATTTATCAAAATCATAGCCTAAAAGAAATCACTGCATTCTCTCTATCTTTTCTTTTACAGTACATTGTATACCCCCTACGCTGTTTCAATTTTTAAAGGAATTTGAAAACAAGACTTAAATTGATGTCAATTTACCCTATATGCGTGTTTTCTTATATGAAATGCATAGAACATGAAATTATTCCGATGACAAATTGAACTCATTTCAGAATACTATAGATGTAAAGTTTAGTAGTTGATCAATACAACATTCAAGATTATATATAGTATCCAATCCTGCCTTTGTCTCTAGTCTTCATCATACTGTTTGCCTATTTATTAGGGATGTCAACTCGGTGAAGATTTACTAATCGAGTACTCGTTAGATTTACCGAGCGATACTCGAGTACTCGCTCGGAAACACATCAACAAAATGGAAACACAAAATCATACCCATTTTACGTATTATGGGTCGTTGTCTTATGGACGTAAAACACTCAACATTATTACTAAGGACTAGATAATAGTCCCAGGAAGTTTATGCCATAATTAATAGCTCATTTACTACATCCACCAATTATGTAAACTGGCAATAATCTAATTAATCAATTAATAAACATCTATAGAAAAATGTTTACTCAAACGATAGTATTTGTGAATCGTAAAAAAACACATTTAATGATCAACAAAGGGGTGATGATTAGAACTAACTGACGCCTTTAACCATTCTCTGAGGGTCGATACAGGGTGCAACGAATTTGGTCTTATTAAGAAATATAACTTTTCAAATTTTTCTTGGACGAGTCGATTTCTCAACTTTGTTACGTAACTAACAGTAATGCTGATGAAAATATTTGCTCTGACGACAGAGAGGTGGTGAAATGACTTATAAGACACGATAAGCTAAAAGTGTAAGCCTCTTAGAAACGTGCTTTTGTTCAAAGCATACCTCTATTCGAGGGATTTTTAAATGACAATTAAACGAAAACATTCGAAGCTTATTTTAATTTTGATTAATATTTTAATTAATTACCCGGGATGCGCTCTTAATTAAAATATTTGTTCTTTAAGAAGGCAACAACATTCTTACGGAAACTGAATAGTCGAGTATCATTTTGGTATTCGATACTCGGTACTACCGAGCGATACTCGAGTACTCGAGTACTCGTTGACATTCCTAGTATCTATCTTGAAAAGATCACAATGTTTACCTCAAATGGGCAATTAAGAATTCTTGTCACAATAATATTATATCTTACTATATATCTAACATAATTTGGCTAATGTATGACTAGAAGTGCTAAAACAAAGCAATATTTGCAATGATTTGCGATAATTGTATGTATGAAGTAACCAACCCGATATATTAAATTACTTAAAAGTTTTATAAACTGACTGCTGTCTGTTTTTTTTTTTTCATAAATTCAAAGCACAATTATTGTTTGCTATACAGAAGGCCTTTAAATAACAAAAACAACATAGCCTTTACTGGCTTTATATTCTGTTTTATGACCATAGGGTTAGAGATTTTTGGGGCCTAAAATTTTCAAATTAATTCTGCTGTTTCTTTGAATGTGGAATATTTAGTTCAGTTTTAGGATAGAACAAACGATTGTTAGCTTTATTGAGGTATTTTTTTAATCTCTAGCTTTTTTTTTATACCGCGGTCATAAGAAACCACATTCAGGTGTTACAGATTACATTATGGTTTTCGACAGGACGAAAAAAACACTCTAACAACAATATTCATCAAGGATCAATGTCGGCAAAGAGTAGATATAAGCACTGCTTAACAATTCTATTTACAGATGTCACATGAACCGAGGCAGACACATTCGATTCACTTAGTATAGTTGACATATTTTGCGATATATTCTTAGCAAAAAACCAAACCCCGAAAAAACTAAATCAATCCAATTTAGGGTCGTACTTTCAAATATTCAAGTTTGGTATACATGTACTTTTATAAAGTGATAATTTGAAGCAGCTTTCATAAATAGATATTTTAAAGTTTTTCTATCGGAAACATCTGTGAAACCAATGTCATCCAAATTTAATCATATTAAAACGGTAACAATTCAAGTAGGAGGTTTAACTCGCTATAAAAGCAGGTTTAACCCATAAATTTCTATGGGAAATGCCTGTAACAAATCATAAATATGAGAGTTGTGTTCCAGTCGTTTCTTTGACTGATTTAGTCAAGTGCTTAATTTCGTCA